TTAAGGCTCCAAACCCTGTATCCCCATAACATCCTGCAATTAACCCTCATTACAAGCCTTCTCATCCTGAATTATATTATGTATTAGAGTGCTTGCTCCTTTTCTCTCCTGGAACTGAGTCACCACTTCTCTGAAGTGAGAGGCACATTCCCAAACTGACTGACTGTGAGGAGGCCAGTCCTTCTGGCTACTTTCTCCATGTCACCATTTGCTCCAGGAAAAAGTGGTTGGTGCTAGTCTGTCTTCACACTCCTGGCCACTTATTAATCAAATAATGCCAAATCCTTCTGGCTACTTTCTCCATGTCACCACTTGCTCCAGGAAAAAGTGGTTGGTGCTAGTCTGTCTTCACACTCCTGGCCACTTATTAATCAAATAATGCCAAATTAGGCCCAGACTTAGTGCTTTCAATCAGCAACAGGATCTAGCTTGAATTTAGTGCATTGTTCCTCATTGTATTTGTTATTATTTATGGACCTCTACTTATGGAAAGAAAGTTTTTCTTATACATAGATCTTTCATAAAAAGAATTTATCTGAGTAAAGGAAGTAAACCAATTTAGAAAAACAGTTTGGTATGACTATTCAAATGGTACATGTGGTGACTGATAGATATATACGTACATACATATAAACATACGTATGTATGACAAAGGTGAAGGTAGTCCCTGAATGGCAGAAATCCTGTCATTAGAATAACTAAGTCCTTGAGTCATGAGACCCTGCATACTGCTGCTTTAACCATTAACTAACTGTGTGACTGAAGAAAATTACTTTTCTGTTTTTCAATTTTCTCACTTATAAAAAGATGAGGATAAAAATGAGCTATAAAATGATACATATTAGATACTGTCTCCCTTCCTGCTCATACCCAACCCACTAACCCACTGCTGTTGAGCTAATTCCAACTCACAGTAACCCCCATTGTGTTTCCAAGGCTGTAAATCTTTATGGACATAGATTGACTCATCTTCCTCCCATGGAGCAGTTGGTGGGTCTGAACCACTGACCTTCTGGTTAGCAGACAAATGTCTTACCTATTACATCACCAGAGCTCCTTTCCTGCTCATACACTTATGGAAATAATATTACTGCAAAGGAGCCCAGAGGTTATCACATTTTATTTTACAGAATAGAACTCCAAGATATAAAGAAGTAAGTGCTTGTCCAAGGTCACACAGCATTTAAATGTCAAATTCAAGGTTTCTCAACCCTCTAGTGAGTGAGATAGATTCTCTCCCTAGTCTGACAACTTCCACCCCTGTATGTTCCCTTCCACAAATAAATTCCTGTCAACAGAGTAGCATTTTATTTATAAAGTACAAACACACACACACACACACACACACACACTATGAAGGCATTTTAAAAGAATGGAAAACAAATGAGGCAAGGATAAAAGCACTCTTGAATTTCCAAATGTTAACATTGTTAGATAACCTGAAACCTGAAACCAGAAAAACATACTGGGTTTTCCCCAATGTTGCTTCTCTCTCCTTGTTCCTCATTTAAATTAGATATGAGGAATCACGAACTAGCCAGGTGAAGGAAATTTTGGGGAGGAGGATTAGGATAAAGATATTAACTGATTTGTCTTTGGCTATGGTATATGTATAATAAAACCTCTTTAAATAGAGACTGAATCACTGTCTGTGAATAATGAAAAAAAAAAAAACAGCATCAGATTCCAAGGGAATAGTTAGCCACATTTTAAAAATGGTATTTTAAAGTATGATTTAAAACTATTTTAGCAGAGTAGTTTCCATGTAGTATGTGCTGATTACAATGATATAGTACATTGTTTTTCTCATTAAAAGTACATTTGTATAACCAACCTGGTTTGAGGCAAATTCATCAGATTTACAGATGAACCAAAATGCACATAATCACAAAATTTTAACCAAAATCTTCAATGAGATGTAAAATAGATGGATATAATGACCTGTGGTGTAGTGCCTAAGGCACTTGACTACTAACCAGAAGGTTGGCAGTTCAAACCC